CAGTGTCTAAAATCCCTGGTAGAGGACAAGGATCCTGAGATCACGTTAACGGTAAAGGGACCCCTGACCATTAGGTCCAGTCGTGACCGACTCTGGGGTTGCGGCGCTCATCTCGCTTTATTGGCTGAGGGAGCCGGTGTACAGCTTCCGGGTCATGTGGCCAGCATGACTAAGCTGCTTCTGGCGAACCAGAGCAGCGCACGGAAATGCCGTTTACCTTCCCACCGGAGCGGTACCTATTTATCTACTTGCACGTTCATGTGCTTTCGAACTACTAGGTTGGCTGGAGCTGGGACCAAGCAATGGGAGCTCACTCCATTGTGGGGATTCGAACTGCCGACCTTCTGATCGGCAAGTCCTAGGATCTGTGGTTTAGACCACAGTGCCACCCGCATCCCCAAATTCCATGCGATTGCCAGAAAACTTAGGGAACAAGCTGTGATATCATAATGATTAAGGTTTTAAATGATAATTTTAGATTATATGTTAGTGACTAAGTTTTAATTTATATATTTTTTAACTGTTGCTATATCTGTATTGTCCCTGTTATACCTAATTGCAAATTCAAATGTATCCCTATCGTGTTTTATGACTTCCTTGATATTGCATGTGGGCTGGAACTGGTCTGAGACCAAAATAATAAAATTCATTCATTCGTTACGGGGAAAAGGCTAAAAAACCTCTGTACAATCCTCCCCCCATAAAGCTCAACAACTCTGGGCAATCCACCCACCCCACGCACGCTCCTCCTCCCTCCAATGACAATGGGTAGATCACTGCCAGTTTTTTTATACTGGGAATAGATCACAGTCTATTGGGAGTTGGATATTCCTGTTCTATTATGTTCTAGTTATTTATTGTTTTGAGATGCATTTGAATGAAAAGCGGCATGGAAATGCAAGAAATCAAATCACTTGAGCTGCGGACAAGCCTGTAAAAATTAAACAGGAAAACCAACACTTGCATTTTAACACTGAAAAGGGGGAGTTCAAAGAAGTCAGGACAACTACATTAAATTGGTCCAGAGATGATAGAACACTCCTTTAGGAGCAAGCCTTACAAGCACTCTTTTGGGGGGTGGCTGCATGAATGAGAGGAAGACACAGGTTCTGTTTATTTGTAAATTACATACAGCAAACATGCAGCTTACAAAGTTCATGGATGAGAATGTTCTGTGCTTACTATTTTGGGCACTAGCCAATAGGTGCAAGTGTGACGCATTCCATATCGCACGCAATGCAGTGTATTAGACACAGTCGTGGTAAGAAAATTGTATTTTCCCAGTGGTGAAAAAAATATTATGATTTTTCTGCCACGAAGGTGCTACCTTGGAGAAAGGAATCTGAGTTTCCCTCTAAAGATTCAGTAATCGCTGCACAACATGATTGCCTGGAAAGACTTAGTGAGTCACCTCAGCGAAAGGTATGAATCCACCTGGAAATGATCACAGCTGTGAGACTAAAACCTATTCAATGAATATATGAATGCTTAACCGGTTACCTAAAATGGAAAATAATAATAATAATAAAAGACTGAGCTCTCTCAGAAATAATAACAACTATTTTAAAAGGTGGTGTAAAAGAAATCAACTCGTAAACACTTTACTGCATAACTTTGCAAGCTGATATTTTGTTTTCTCCTTTGGATAGATTGCAACCAGATTTCCTCTGGGTGGAAAAAGGGTATTTCAGTTGCACATTATCAAAAAGCCACTCCGGATGACCTGTTTGTTTATTCACCATTCATCCTGATTTGCATGTATGTGGTGGTTAGCCTATGTCTTGTCTTTACTGAGCATTCAATCTCATTTGCATATGGGGCTGTTATATGACAATGTGCATTCATCTTCATTAGCTAGCAGGATGTTTATATGTCTTTCCTTTAATCATTCATTCATCTTTTCAGTGTGTTTCCCCATCACTTTCCTAACTGCAAAAGGACCATTTAAAAATGGGAAGAAGAAGAAGAAGAAGAAGAAGAAGAAGAAGAAGAAGACGAAGAAGAAGAAGAAGAGGAGGAGGTTGAATTCTTGTGCTAGGGTGCTTTAATCAACTTCAGATGAGCAAACCCAAAATTTCAGTATGCACTTGAATCCCTATTGCAAAATAATGACAGTCTGGATGCACTCAAAATTCGTGCCACAGGATCCTAAGCATGTTTAATTAGAAGTATCAGTAAATGCCTTGGGACTTGTGCTTATCCATGCAGCTGCTGCTATATGTGCTTACTCAGAAGCCAAACATGGTTGGTGGTTCGAGCCCACCCAGGGATGGCTGTGGGCAGGATTCCTGTACACGAAATTAAACTATTTCATATGAAACAAAACACGCTTCACTTGTTCCATGAAATGCAAGACACAGAGGATGGTGGCAATCTCCTCCCATTGCCACATAAGCTGATTACTTCCTGTTTCATTTGGGCATATGTTAACATCCAAGAGGCATCTGCAATCATTTCTTGAAAAGAGTGGGCAACACTAGCACATTTTTATTGCTGCATTACACGGAGTATTCCTGCATTGCAGGGGGTTGGACTGGATGATCCTTAGGTTCCCTTCCAACTCTGCAATTCTATGATTCTATATTTTAACTATGCTTCATGTGAAAATATTGTGTTGTTTTATGAACATTAGACAAGGCCTGCTATATCAAAGGACCATGCAGTCCAGCATCCTGTTCTTACAGTGGCCAAACATATAGCTATGGGAGGCCCATGGGCTGGACCAGAGTTCAACAATGGTCTCCTAAGTTGTGATTCCCAATAACTGGTATTTGGAGGCCGATGGTCAGTTGTAGTGGAAGCACAACTTATCCATATTGGCTATGGAAAAGGGTTATGGAGAGAAGACCAATTGAACTCAGTGGGGATTTACTTTCAAATAAATATTATTATTTATTGAGACTTCCGGGGAGGCGCCTCCGGCAATGGCTGAATTCCTCCGATCGGGAGGAATTTGCTCCGTGAAAAGCAGGGTCTGACCGCCACGGTGAAGGCGGAGACCCATAGAAATCACAGGCGGGAGAAGCCTGTGAACCTGGGATTCGGCTGGCACCATTTGCGCCCCCCCTACTCGCGGGGAAACCCTGCTTTGGGGATCCGGAGCGACGTGGGGTGAGCGGTGCGGTGCTTTGAATCGACCGCTTCTTTCACGGAGTGAAGCCGCATTGCTGTTGTCGGAGAGCGCTGACTTTTTCCTGTGGACAATTGGATTTTAAACGACTACCTGTGAGTAGAACGGAAAATTGGACTATGAAATTTCTTAATTAGGAACCGAAAGCGGGAAGGTTCTAAACAGGAAGTCCGCCTTCCATTTTGTAAATAGATTGAAGCAAAGACGTTACAAGCTAAAGTCTTTGAAAGCTTTTGATAAAGGATTAAATTTCTACCGGACAAGAATATATAACCCCTCGTGGAAGCAGGAGGAGAGAGGGGAAGTTTTGGATTTAGTGTGCCTGCAGAAGAGAGTCAAAATTAAATTGCCACTGCTCTGAACCTGGAAAAGGGCTGCCAGATGACGTTCGGGGAATGTTTACTGACAGAACGGATTTGATAGCTAGCTAAAATAAGAAAGGCACTGTCTCCATTGTCCTTTTCTGCGTTTAAAAATGGAGGAAAAAGTAACCGAAAATTGAAACTATTGTTACTTGCTTGAGTTGTGTTTAAAAGAATTGATACAAATGGAGACTGTTTCCCTCTAGAGGAAGCATGTGAAACTGTTACAGGAGTGCATTAGGGAGAGCTCCAGCTGCAAGATAAGATTCTGAAAAATAGAGTCTGACCTTGGATCATTCAAAATGTTGATAGGAGAAGCCATTGTGACTGTATTATACAAGATAAATCACGCGCTGGAACAGCTTCATAAAAAGACAGATGACACGATCTCTAAAATTGACAACTTGGAACAGAACGTGATTAATTTGAATCAAAAAGTGGGTGCTAATACAGAAACAACTCAGGATTGGGTACAGGAACATATCTTGGTTGGACAAATGGTGGAGGAAAAGGAGAAAGCTGATGGTGTGAAAATGATGGAGAAAAAGGAGAAAGCTGATGATGAGAAACTAAAAGTAGTACAAGCGGGATCCTTAATTTCTCAGAAGCAGATTGAGGATTATAAATTGAGGTCTTTCATGACTGAATCTAGCAAAAGTCAAATTTCGAGGTTAGGATCCCGGCTTGGATTGAAGAAGGAAAGTTGGAAAGAACCCTCTATCCAGGGATTGACTGACTTTTGGGACATGGACTTGGGCTTGGAGGAGTTTGAAGTTTTGGGGGTCGCTAGAATTGGAGGAATCCTGAAATACATTCTGAAACACTTCATAAAATGGACTTTACTTTTAACTTTGGAAATTTGGCTGAACTGTCCAGAAGGAACAAAAGTTTTGCTAGGCTGGAGTTTTCCCGAGACTTGCTCCTGAACATCAAAGAACATGAAGAAGACCTGCAGAAGGGACTTGGAAGAGATTTAAGAGCCTCGGATATTAGGGCACCAGGTTGATGGATTATATGGAACTGATGGAAAGGACTGGCAGAATCTGAAGCCAGGAAGAGGAGATAGTGGAAGATTAATGGAAAATTTAAAGTGTTTATTTAGAAACTTTGTTAAAGTAATGACTGTTAGAAAAACGGTGGAATGATATTTTATGGATTTAGCAAAAATACTATAAGAAGTTGGGTGTATATAAGTAATCAACCATTAATGGGAAATAAGGTTAAAGAATATGTTATTCTTAATATGACAGAAAATAGAGAAAGATGGAAAGGATTTGCTGAAACAAGTACTAGAAGCGGGATACAAGAAGGGAGGTGTGAGGAAGTCGAGGAAACAAGGGAATGAAGGATAGAGTATGGAAAAGGAGAGATGCTTTTAAATTGTTTTTGTCTTGATTTGTTCATGTGTTTAGTTTAATGGGTTTAGGGTGGGTTTGTATTGTTTATACATTGTATTGTTTTTCTCTTTTTTCTTTTTTGTGTTTTCTCTCTCTTTTTTCTACTTTTTTGTAACTTTTAAAAGCAATAAATATTATTTTTTTAAAAATATTATTATTTATTGAATTCATATACTACACTATACCCGGAGTTTCTTCCAAAAGCACCTGGATCTGGTCTGCGACCACTCGCTCCAGAACCTTGCTCAGGAAAGAGAGATTAGCAACTGGCTGGTAGTTTGTTAGGTTTTCCGAATCCAGTGGAGGTTTCTTAAGGAGTGGTTTTACCACTGTCTCCTTCAAACAGGCAGGGACCACCCCCTCTCGTAAAGAGGCATTAATCAACACCCTGGCCCAGTCAGCTGTTCCCTCCCTGCTGGTTTTTATCAGCCAAGAGGGGCAAGGGTCTAGAGTGCACGTGGTCGCCCTGACTGATCCAAGCACCTTGTCCACATCCTTGAGCCTTACCAACTGAAACTCATCCAATACAACAGGACTAGACTATGCTCTGAACATCCCATGAGATTCATCTGCTATAACAGCAGAGTCAAGGTCTTGGTGGATGCAAGTGATTTTATCCTCAAAATGCTACCCACAGAATTGGGCTGTGCAGTTGTGATCTTAAACACGATCCCTTGAAATCCACGCGGTATATGTTACAGTAAGACCAGGATTTCAAAATTGTTCACAATTGCCACCAAGTGTGTTTCTAAAAGCTGGATCTGCTATACAGCAAGACTTTTGAATATATTCCAGGTTTCCAAACCGCATTCCTAATAGCAAACAAAGGGTGGATCTTTCATGTGCTGCTCACGTCTGAAAACTACAGGAAGGACCACACAGCAAAGGGGGAAGCTAGGAAAGAAAGAAAGAAAGAAAGAAAGAAATTATTCCTAGGACTCTGAAGGAAAAGCATTAATAACAGGATGGTTTTTAATATATTTAACAACAGAAGAATTTTTATATTGCAGGGTCCTTTGTAGACAATTGATGATATACACATGTGAGGCTCTATCCTATGCATGTTTACTTGGAAGCAAGACCCACTATGTTCAATGAGTCTTACGCTCAGGTGAGCATGAAGAGGACTCTAGTCCCGGCGGTTCTAAATCCAGCTTTAATAAAAAGGGAGAATGCAGGGAGATGTTACCCCATCGTCTTTGAAATGTAAACGAGGGTAGAGGGCTCCCCTGGGGTTTTTCCAAAATAAACTACATCTGCTGCTTCCCCTTCTAGCTATTGCATACACAAGCTAGGATAAGTCCTTGGCTGCTTTGAGTGACAGGTTGTTCCGAGCCAGATGAGGAGGAACAGAATGACTGAGGGCATGGCAAGTGACCAAGAGTGCCAGACCTCAGCTTGTTGATGACTTTGCATACAATGCCTACTTTAAACGACTTGAGATTTGATAGCTTTACTGCCACACACTGGGCTGCTAATACTAATACCTGTCAGTCTGAGGCCTTTAGACATCAGGAGTGGCAAATGGAACGAGAAAGGACTTGATTAGGTATCTGGCATCAAGGGCCTAGTACTCTGAGGAGGTAAACTTGCATCTGTGCGCTACTATTTCAGAATGCAGACAGGATCACAGGATTGAACACTCCTCCATACAAATATATTCCTACCAAGTTCATAAAAATAGATGGCACAGAGAGAAGCTAGCTTTATGTACGCAAGGATTATTATTATTTGCACAGAGCAGCGTTCAGCCATGAAAGCCAGCAGCACGCAACTGAGACTTTAGTTTTCCACCTCAGAAAGGGCAGGGACTTTCAAATACAGGATGCACTGGCAGGGCCGGCCCACACATGAGGCAGGTGGTAGGGACAACCATCTGTTGGTTCCCTGATGGCATACAACTCTTCCTTTTCAGTCTTGCTTGAATTCAAGTCACAGCTGCAAAGGTCCCTGCTAACACCAAGGTGGCAGGGATTGTCTCCATTCAGTAGTTCTTGAGTGAAGCCAATTCCGGCAGGCTTTGCACTCAGCGCTGATCTGGCCTATAGGAACAGAGGTTCCGCATCTGTGGTGTATACTTTGCAGGAAACACTGACACTGCCCCAGTTCTGTGATGTGACTTGGCCCAAAATGAAAAGGAGCAGTGTGCTGCTTTCTCTTCTGCCTCCTCTTCAGTATCTAGTGGTATAAAGATGAAACAAGAAAGAACAAAGCGAAAGCAGAACAGGTCAGCCTGTACGCAAGAGAATGGACACAAATGTGACATTAAAAATTGCAGTGTTCAGAAATTAGTGGGAGAACATTTCACTTTCCCAGGACACACTGCTGCTGACCTCAGTCACCAGACTTCAAGAAAAATAAACTTCAAAAGGACTCTTCAATATGAAACTGCTGAAGTAGAATTTATTAGCAAATACAGTTCTGTAGAATAGAATTCAGGCTCAGGTGAGGTTGGGGGTTTCTGTCCCACTAGACAAACTATTCTGCTTATGGTGATCGTTTAGTATAGAAAGCAGGAGCTTATTTCAACCCAAGACTGCAGTTGTGAAAGGTCATTTTGTTCTCAACTTGTATATATTTGGATCTTTATGGCCATTTCTACACAAACATGCTTGTTGCTGGCATCCATCCATCCATCTCAAGAGACAATGGATTGTGTCTCTGGGTGAAATCAAACCACTGCGTTAACATCACCGAAGTGACCTCTCTGGGGCACAAGCCTGGGCAGTTTGTATGAAGGTCCTGGACTGCCCATGTGACAAGATCCCCCTCTCAGCCACACTGATGTTCAAAGGAAATACGTTGCCGGAAAAAAGGTGTACAAGCTGCCATCCAACTGCCTTAGGGACTCCTCTCTGGATTTGTGTAGGGTTTACTCCTGTGCCTTTCCTTCTTCTGAAGATACCCCACAAGGCAGCGGAGGTGTAGGATCCTAGATAAGCTACCTTCCCAGCCCCATCTGCCCCTCATTTCCCTCTACAGCACATGCAGAAACCGCCTTCTTGACCGTTGGACCCACTGTTAGTCTTGTCTGCCCAATCCGCCAGAGCCTGTCTTTGCATGCAGAAGAAGTTCTATCTCAGTGAGGGTTTGAGGCCCATCAGCTACCCTCACCCAGTTTAGATGGCCAGTTGTAGCTGTTCCTGAGATGTGGTCACTTTTGCATGCTGACAGCTTCTAGGAGCCGCAGGTGAGAGCTGAGTGCAGCGTCAGGACTAAAGGTGGACAAACTACCCCAGAAGGAGCATGATGAGTCTCCACCAGAGGTACTACTCCTCCCCTAACACCCCATACAACAAACATCCTTAAGCCACAATAAATGTGTTAGTCTTTAAAGGTGCCAAAATTTTAGTGATTCTAGCCACCATGTGTAACTAGTTCACATTACATAACAGCACATAATATAACTATGGCTGTTTTCTTTTAATCACTGCATCATGCAAGCATGGAATTTGACATCAAATGCTCAATTCAGCATACTGAGCATCTCAGCTTTCGAAGACTTTTTATCTAAAAAACAAGTTTCTAGCCCACGTAACTGCAAAGTTTGAAAGCATGTAGGGCCATTTAGTTATGACACGTGCTGTTGATAATCTGAAAATATCAAAGTGCGGTTCAATGGGTAAAATTATACAGCAAATAATAATCATGAAACACTGAAGTACAGTACAGCATTATAGTTCTAATCTGTAAATGATTGATAAATGCGTTCTTATTGGAGAGAAAGTCCCCCACTGAGATCAGTGAAATTTGCTTTCAAGTAAACATGCTGAAGACCGCACTGCAAGATGAATTGCTATTTGTCAGGGCATGTAAGTGCATTACTAGTCTGCACAGAATCTCTTTATCACAGACAGAAGCAGAATTGTTCATGCAAATAAGCAAATATGTGCACATTCAACTTCTCTGCATAACCAGGATGTAGAAAATTGTGGTTTTAAGAAAAAAATTGATACCTTGAAAAAGATTTTCAATATTTTTATACTATTCAGCATAACATAGCATTTGCAGTCCTGCGGCAACCCATTAATGAATACATAAAAAACTCTCTTTTGCATTCCATATAGCATCTAGACTAAAGTTACCAGATTTTTTTCAATGAATCCAGGGACACTTTTCAACTTCATTGGATTTTGTATGGGGACTGATGTGTAAATCTGGGGACTGTCCCCGGGAAACGGGGACATCTGCTAACCTTAATCTAGACCACCAGCAGCTTTGTCATGAAATGTTGAGTCCCACCTTTTGGACTAAAGCAATTACGGATGTGATCACGAAATCAAAAGGCTATTGTGAGATTTTGTGAAAATTAACATTTTTTATATTGCAATTCTTTTGTGGCTCTAGCTAACGTCTAGGACATCTTTCTGATGGCTGCAAAGCTTTACTGCATCCCAAAGTCAACTCGGAAGTCACAGGAGCGCATATCCCTCTACACACCCAAGGAATTCTCACCCACCTAGCAGTGCAAACTTGAGTGCCACAACTTGTGTTTTGCTCAACAAAGGCACAATTTGCTAATTTGTGGTCTAACAGCATTTCTGGAAATTTCCTGGAAGCCTTGTTTCAGCTTTATTGATGAGAGTTATTGATGAGACTGGGTTTCAAAATCTAGAAATACTTCCCTGTATTGAAGGGTGTTTTTCCCTCCCTAAATAACCAGACAAAATTAACATCACAGGCAGAATACTTTCTACAGAAAATGGTAATGTAATTGCCTCATCGTGTTTTGTGAGAATTGGAAAAGACTGTCCTTTGGTTTCTCCAACCTGATAAATGTTGCCTTCTCAAGCTAAGAGGAACAAGCATTTTGCTTCAGTTTCACTTGAGGCAGTTAACAGTAATCAAAGAACATCAAGGCTTGTTTCTAACTAGCTGTTACCATAACATAGATAAACACAATTTTGTACCGCATATTCCTCCCCTCGCTTCATCTTCCAGAGCGCATGACTGCCTGGGAACCAAGGGGGGGGGGAGGAAATACATTTTTAAAACTGCTTCTGGTATTCAGCTGTACAGATCATTAGACTGAAGCTTCTCAAATCCTGACATCATGCCTTCAGAAAGGGGGCGGGGGGAAGTAATCAGCCATAAATAACTAGGGAGAATGACACAGTGTAAAGGTATATAAGCATGACCCATAAAAGTCACCTGCGGCTGAAATTACAGTAAATGTTTCCAGGAAAGAAAAATACTGTACCGTAATCTTCCTCTTCATAGCTTCATCTGCTGATTGTGATTCCTTTATTAACGCTGTGGGGTGAAAGGGGTGTTAGGGGAGGGGTAGTACCTCTGGTGGGGGACACACTGTGCACCTTCTGGGGTACTTTGTCCACCTGTCTCTTGAGACAGATGGATGCTAACAACACAAAGTCCTTGAGACATTATTATTATTATTATTATTATTAAAACTGAGATTTTCATTGTGGTGATTTCTAATCCTATTTTACAGTAGCATGGTTGACTCATCCTCATTTCATTTTCTTGCCCACTTTTCACCATAAGGTCCCAAAGCAGGTTACAGTAATTTAAAATTACAACATTAAAATCTGTTTTGTTTTGTTTTGTAAAAAATTACAGTCAAGGAAATAGGGTGAGCCTTTGGAGTTACCCATCAGTGATGAGTAAGTAAGATGTATCTCCCATGGGGCTCTTATCTCACAGTCCACACATCTCCCTTCTTCAATAAATCACCCACAGACTTCCTGTGAATTTTATTAGTCGCCATCCCTTCCTGCTCTACACTAGTGTTTAATTTTTATTTTATTATTTGGCCTCCAATGATGCAACTCATGATCGGGGACTGGCTTTGCATTTTTATTTATTTCAGAAGATTTATACACAACTCAATAAAAAAATAAAACCAAGCTGTTTATATATAAAAAATACCAAAAATCAACAGACTTTAAAAACATGTATAAAATTATAAAAATCTTTATAAAATCAGCCTGAGTAGCCTTGCTATAGATTTATAGTTTTCCTCTCTTGATGAAAGTTAATAGTTGGACTATGACATTAGAATGCTAAAAGAAAGTTCAGGGAAAAAGTCAATTTCATATATGTTACTCATGTGTTAATATAGTTGATTGTGAAATTAGCAAGAATTGGATTATTTCAAATCATTATAGTAATACAATATGTATACACTGGTGCCTTGGTTGTTGAACATAATCTGTTTCGGGAGTCTGTTTGACTCCTCGAACGGTTTGAAAATCAAGGCACGGCTTCCGATTGGCTGCAGGAGCTTCCTGCACTCAATCGGAAGACGCATCGGATGTTTGGCTTCCCATTCGCAAACAGGAACACTCACTTCCAGGCGTTTGGGAGCTGATCTGTTCGACATCAAAGGCGTTTGACTACCAAGGTACCACAGTATTTAGTGATGGTACATTTTTGCAATGATGCGAATGATTGGTTGAAATTGAGGTGTATTTATTGATGAGCAGGGTATGGTGTTAAGCATTGATGTATATTAATGACTTTTATTAAGCATTAGTAAACATTGGTGAGCATGCTACTTTTTCTGTACTGATTTACCTTTGACCATTTAATTTTTTTTTTAAAAAATGACAACAAATTGTAGAGACTTTCCCCCATAGAGTAGGAGATTATAGACTGCAGGAGATGATGGATACAAAGAAAGGCACGGAAATGGTCAGAAATAAAGGCAAAGGACACAAGATAGGAAATGAAGCAAAAGAAGGAATGAAGGATGAAAAGGAAGGCATATATGTGTGTGTGTGTGTGTGTGTGTGTGTGTGTATATATATGTATGTATGTATATATTGTCAGGAGCCTGTTATGTTAGTTAAACATATATAACACAAACAGCAACATCCAAATAGTCAGAAATTATGCCTTTGTTGTAGCTTTTGACACCCACTAAATATTTTTTTTTTTGTCTTTACACTTTTAACATGTCATTTTATTTTCAGCATATGCTGGTTTTGCATATATATATATATATATATATATATATCCCATAACTTGCTTTTACAGTTTGATTTTTATTTTAAAAATGGGCATTTAAAATTTTCTATACAAACAGCTGGTGGTAGAGGAAAGCAGGATATAAATCCTGTGAAGTAAATATACATAACCACAAGTAGGGGAAAGGATCAGATGCAGACAAATTTGTGGAAACTTGCTTTTGTTCTATTGATTACACATCTAACAAAGGCAATAATTTTATGCCACTTGAAACACATGTAAATCTTTGGAGTATCCACTTTGGGTAATAATGTGAAAGACTATGCACCAGTATTGATGACATATCTCTGAAAGATAACTTATTCTCATGTATTGTTTCCACCCCCTCAAAGACATAAGCATACAGAAACAGTTCTGCTATGTTCAGAGGTTTGCCTGCCCGTAAAAATAAGTATTTTCCAAAAACCAGCAGGTATAGGAAGAAGGGGACAAAGGGGACATATGGAAGGAGAATGTGCATGGATATAGATTGGTAGGCTCCTAGCTTTTGCGCACATACACACACCTGCCTCTGCTGGAAGACAGAGTATACACCTGCTTAGGGCACCAGCAAAGGGTCAGCACCCCCTCCCCAAAATATGATTTTAAAAAGGAAAGAATTTAACACTTTCCGTTTGATATTTAAAACAATAGTATTACTTAGTATGGTTTTTATTTTGAAATAAACATTGGGAGGGTAGTGTGCCTAACATAGTCTTTTCAGTGCTTGGGGTCTTAACGCTGCCCAGTCCCCCCACCCCGACCCTACCTGCCCTCCCCCATACCCCTAACCCTCCCCCATCCACCTGCTCTCCCTCACACCCCTCCCCTTCGCATCTCTAACATTTCCCCTCCCCCCTTACACCCCTAACCCTCCCCCACCCACTTGCTCTCCCTCACACCCTCCCCCTCTCCCTTTACACCCCCACCCTCCCCCTCTAACCCTCCCCCTTTACACCCCACCCTCCCCACTCACTTGCTCTCCTTCACACCCCTCCCCCTTTACACCCCTAACCCTCCCCCACCCACTTGCTCTCCCTCAAACCCTCCCCCTCCCCCTTTACACCCCCACCCTCCCCACTCACTTGCTCTCCTTCACACCCCTCCCCCCTTTACACCCCTAACCCTCCCCACCCACTTGCTCTCCCTCACACCCCTCCCCCTTTACACCCCTAACCCTCCCCCACCCACTTGCTCTCCCTCACACCCCTCCCCCTTTACACCCCTAACCCTCCCCACCCACTTGCTCTCCCTCACCCCCTCTCCCTTTACACCCCTAACCCTCCCCCACCCACTTGCTCTCCCTCACACCCCTCCCCTTTACACCCCACCCTCCCTACCCACTTGCTCTCCCTCACACCCCTCTCCCTTTACACCCCTAACCCTCCCCCACGCACTTGCTCTCCCTCACACCCCTCTCCCTTTACACCCCAACCCTCCCCCACGCACTTGCTCTCCCTCACACCCCTCCCCTTTACACCCCTAACCCTCCCCCTTTACACCCCACCCTCCCCACCCACTTGCTCTCCCTCACCCCCTCTCCCTTTACACCCCTAACCCTCCCCCACCCACTTGCTCTCCCTCACACCCCTCCCCTTTACACCCCTAACCCTCCCCCACCCACTTGCTCTCCCTCACACCCCTCCCCTTTACACCCCTAACCCTCCCCCACCCACTTGCTCTCCCTCACACCCCTCCCCCTTTACACCCCTAACCCTCCCCACCCACTTGCTCTCCCTCACACCCTCCCCCCTTACACCCCTAACCCTCCCCACCCACTTGCTCTCCCTCACACCCCTCCCCCTTTACACCCCACCCTCCCCACCCACTTGCTCTCCCTCACACCCCTCCCCCTTTACACCCCTAACCCTCCCCACCCACTTGCTCTCCCTCACACCCCTCCCCTTTACACCCCTAACCCTCCCCACCCACTTGCTCTCCCTCACACCCTCCCCCTTTACACCCCTAACCCTCCCCCACGCACTTGCTCTCCCTCACACCCCTCCCCCTTTACACCCCTAACCCTCCCCCACCCACTTGCTCTCCCTCACACCCCTCCCCCCTTACACCCCTAACCCTCCCCCACCCGCTTGCCCTCCCTCACACCCTTATCCCTCTCTCTCTTCCTGAGGCCCCACAGACCGCCCCTCCGCCTCACGCCCCCCCCCCCCGCGCTTTGTAACGGGCGGCGCGTGGCCGCCGCGGGCGCTTAGCAACGCCGTTGCCATCCCCACCGGCGGCGGCGGCACCTGCGCAGTGGCCTCTGGCCGGGCCCCGCTCGCCCGTTCTCTCAGGTAACAAGCACAACCCGCCCCCCCCAACGCTCGCGAGTGCCCCCCCTGCACACGTCCACCCCCCCCCGCAACGTCTCCTCAGCGGGCGCCACCTGCCGTTATTCCCCCGGCGGCGCAGGCGCGCTCGCGGAAGCTTCGGCTGCTGCGCGTCGCCGGCCCTTCCCTCGCCGCCGCTCGTCAGGAGGAGGGAGGCGGAGGCGGGCCCGAGCGGGAGAGAAAGGCCGGGCGGAGGACGGGGAGGGAGGAGGACGAGGAGGAGGAGGGAGGCGGGGACCGCCTTGGCCGCCGCCAGTCGCGCTCTCTGGCGTGCGTGAGGAGAGCCAGGAGAGCCCTCGCGAGGCAGCGCAGCCCGCTCGCTCGTGGGGCGCCACAAGCCCGGCGTGAGGAGGCGAACGAGGCGGCTCTCCCACCACGCACCGAGCGGAGGTGAGGCCGGGGCTCAGCAGCCTCCCCTGCACCCCTCCCTCCTCCCCTCCTGCTGCTGCTGCTGCTGCTGCCTTTCATCCTCCCGTCTGTCTCGCCTCCTCCCTGGCACCTTCCTCCCATCCCTCCTTCTCCCGTCTCTCGCTCTCCCTCTTTCCCTTCCCGTCCCCCCCCTCGACTCTCTCCTTACCCCCCATCCCGCCTCCCATCTGCCACCTTTCACCCCCTCCCCATCCTTACCTTAGCATCCCTTCCTGCATCCCTTCCTCCATCCCTCCATCCATCCTCCCTCCTTTGTGTTCACGCTCTTTCTCTCTCTTGCCAGCCAGGCTGTCACAGCGCTCACTTACCAACCCCCCCCCATCAAAATGCATGTCTATGTGCAGGATTTAAAATTCCTGCCTTTGTGAGAGGGAACCACATATATGCACATTGTGTGTGTGTGTGTTTATTCCCCCCCCCCCCTCACCGCCGCCTCTTTCCCTCTTTCCCTCCTTTCCCTTTCTTCTTCTTCTTTCTCACATGCGTCTCTCTGTGTGCGCGCTTGGGAGAGAATCAGGCAGAGAATCCATCCCTCCTGCCCCCCTCCCCCTGTTCTGAATAAGTGGTCATTTTTCTGCAGTGTGTGTACTGTATATGTGTGGGTATAAAAGGAGGGGGGGGGAAGGACCAGAGGAGCTTTCTGGGGTTTGTGTGTGTGTTTCTGAAATAGAGAGAGAGAGAGAGAAATATCTCCTTTCCTCCTATTCCTAGGGAAGGGATGCTTGCTTCTGCCCCTTTCATGTTAGCCGGTCCTTTATTCAATACAACATATTCTTTTCTCTGGGCATCGGTTTTATGGTTCAGTGTATGCGTTTAAACTCGTCGCTGGGCGGCCTCTAAATTACAAAGTCTCCTCCTGCTTTTAATTGTCTCAGTAAGATGCCACTGGGAAAAAAGGAAATAGAGAGAGTATAGTTGAAAAAGATAAGCCAGCCGTTTGCTGCCTTTAGGCCTCTTTAAGCTTCTGAGCAACTTCAGGCAACCTGCTTTGTATCTGAGCCTGAGAAGGTCTCTGGTCCCGCCAAGGCATTTGTTGAAAATGATGAAATAACATGAATTTATAACTTAGTATAGTTATTACAGTATAGAGTTATTTATACCCAATTGGTTTGAGTATCTTCCTCTCCAAGCAATCTAATAAACAGAGGTTTTGGCATGGGAAGTAATTGTGTTTACTTGTGAGCATTATGTTGGTAGAGTATTATCTGAACTGTGTTAGACTTTGCATGCTGAGTTTGTGTTGACTTCTGTGCAAAATGACAGTGTTGAGGAGTGGGCATAAAAGAGATGCTTGATTTTAAAACCTCTACAATTAGTAGGCAGCTGCTTCTCTGATGGTTCAGTGTACCTTTGACTTATCACAGCTGGAAAAGGGTGATGGCATTAAACTTGCAGTTCATATTTTAGCTGCTGGGTTATGTGTCTTCTAATATGTATCATGGGAGTGTTGCCATTTCGCCCTTCCCATAGCAGATATATTGTCAGCAGTACTGTGACATTTTCAACTGTGTTGTTAGATAATATATTACACGTAAATTTCCATTTTGAGTTTGCCTATTGAATGAAGAAGTTTATTACGTACTTTGTCAACCTGAGCCTGTACTCTGGAACTTTGACATTTCCAAAATACTACAATCAGCATCGTGCGGGTTTGTGTGTAACCGCTGGCACATATTTCCTTAGAGATGTTATATTCTGTTAACTTGTCAAAATTATTGGCAGGGTTCTTAATTGTGTATTCTGAATAGGTCGTATTCATTACACTATTTTTTAAAACTGCTTTATAAAAATCATGTTTATTTCCTTAGTTGGAAGAGCATAAAATGGGCATTTTGTCATTGATAAAAACAAAATTCTATAAATAATATCATAATTAAAAACTAAATAAGTATATAATCATGGCTACTTGTCCAAGTGTTTAATTTAAAATGGTTTGTCTAATGTTGCAATTATATTTAAACTATATTTAAACAGAGCAAGTTTTATCTTTGTAAAACATGGTGAGCAACTGTTAGTGAAGGCATCTCAAGATGTACAAATTAAAACCCTAAATTAAAACTTAGTTGACATGTTCAGTTTGGTAAGAACCTATTATGCATGTGAGTGGTTTTAGAATTGAGACTTTTTCATCTGTTGGTGGCCATGTGAATGAAATTTCAATGTTCTTTCAGGGCCAGAACTCTTAAGGCAGAGTTATGACTCTTATTTTGAGTGTCCTTGCAGAGGGGGAATATTGTTAAATGAGAAATATGACATCAGTAGTGTCACTGATGTGGTTGAGTCAAGTTTGTTACAAATCCCTGAAATATATATGCAATTTTGTGAGAAACTGTAGACAAAGTGGATTGATGTCAATATACTCTGGATAGCTAAGTTGATAGAGCATGATGAGGCTCTTAATCTCAGGGTTGTGGGTTCAAGCCTCATGTTGGGCAAAAGACTCCTGCATTGCAGGGGGTTGGACTAGATGACCCCCACAGTACCTTCCAACTCTACAAGTTCATCATTCTATGATCTTACAAGGTTGAAATAGGAAGACTATTAGCTGTACACATGCATGTCCTTAAACTAGTAAGGCAATATTGATGTATAGTGTATTCAAACATAATGTGGAACTTGTAATGTGAAACTCACTGTGGCAGTGTACAACCAATACATTGGTTTTCATTGCATTCACTTAAAAGATATGTCTCTGTGTTGGTGTGACTACTCTATAAAATACTTTCTATAGCACTGCTATGCAGTAGGTCAGTTTAGAAAATATGTGATTAATGGGGTACAATGAGTTGCATCTGGGGCAGGGCTAGATTTGATGGGATCCTCAGTGGTAGCAGAACCCTCCCCTTATCTTGGTAGTGTCAGGTGGGTATAGCAGCAGGGTTTTTTTTTTGTTTGTTTTTTAAAACTCATCTAGCTGGCCAGCACTGCTTCTGTTCCTGCCAATTAAATTCCCCCCAAAGGTTTTTGTACACCTGGTAGTGTGTCCTAGAGCGACACTGTCAGGGACCCAGCTGCATTGTGGGGAGATTAATATGACAGGTGACTGCCTCCAAGGAGTGCTGAACCTGGATCACTACAGCTGGTGTTCTGGGTGATGACTAGGTAGGCAGCTGTCCTTCTTGCGGATTTGGGCTGTTGACCACTGTACAGTGGCCTGATCTGTAGCCCAAGCCTGCCCCCAATGATGTTGAAATTCCCATAAGTCCCCTGTTTTGGTTAGAATGGCTGTGTTAATAGTGTAATCATACACATCTTTACTCGTATGTTCATCTCACCAAGATGTGTTGAGGATGTGGGATTTAATTTTCTAATCTTGATGGTGCCTTGATAATCACATTAAATGTACATTTCAGACACTTAGAATTCTGCTGGAGTTGATTAGCCAGAATCATAAGCACAGACACAGCTTCCTTTGTGCCCAAACAGAAACAAGCTGGGGATGAATTTTGTCCTGTTTTTGTTTCTCGCTTTGTAGAAGAATTGCATGTGTGTCCTGCTCCACTGCAAACAAGCTGTTATTTTCTCCACTGATTCAGAAGGGTTTGCTAGCTGGTTGTGCATCACCCATTTGAACTTGCTGTCTGCTACCATTAGCATGCTTTTTCAGCTGTTCCTAGGAAGTTTTCACAGTTTCAAATAGAAATATTTGAATCTTAATGTTAACTGTGTACATCTCCCAATGAAAGTGCCTTGTATATAATGTGAATATGAAGTTAGGTTAATCACTGCAACCCCAAATTAAATCCTTATTCCTCCCATTGGTTGTATGAAATGTTCAAGAGGTCCACATCTAGGCAAATTGTTGGAATGAGGTCCACTGGCTCTAGCTGGGGAATCCTTGAGCCAAAAAAAAGAAAAGAAAAGAAAAAGAAAAAAGAAACGAAAGAAAGAGAAATAAATAAATAAATAAAAAGGAAAAATAGAGGAGAAAGAGCTAAAGAAAAATCTACTCCCTGTGAACCTTGTCTTGAAAGAGGTCTCCTCTTAGCAAGAAGACAAACTTGGCCAAGAAAATGGGCTAAAAGCAAAATGCAAAAAGCTTACACTCCATCTCCTCAAAACCCCATGCCAGTATACCTTGAGCATTTAGGAAAGATTCTGTTGGGCAAGGGTGGAGGGACAGTGCACAGAGTAAAGGAAGAGAAATAAGGCTAGAAAGCTAAGTAAGGTCAGGGGTAGGTAACTCTTCTTTGTGTGTTTCTCAGTATAAAGACCTCTCTCATTTAAAATCTTTCCCCAAACTCTGATTACTTCTCTCTCTTGTTATACTCCTGAATAACTTTCTCCTCATTAAAAACTACTCCATTAATTTATGACTTTCACCAAGATCCTGTGCCTTCTTTGTTTCTCTTCCCTCCCTTTCATCCTTTAATCTTTCAGCTTTCCTTATCAAAAGTAAGTTGCAAAGTCTGTCCAGGCCTGGACAAAAAAGCCTTCAAACCACCTGGTTTCTAACTGTCTCAAACTAATTGCCCCAAACAAAGGTTTTTATTTCTAAACTGGAATGAAAATGTCGGGTAAAATAAAAACAATACACTATAAAGGCAAACACTTGGGCAGTTACCAGATGACAGGGGAAGATGTCTCTCACCACAATACTGAGTGCCCAGTTCATATCTTGATCCCCCTCTTCACCCCAGAGCTTATAATAGGAGATTACCACCCCCTTGAATAGCTGCTTCCTAGATTAATCAAACAGACACAGATAATTCCTAAACTCTGATGAGGAAACATGTAAAATCAAAAGGTACCCAAATATAAAATTGAATAAAAGTAATATTTCATTCCCAATTAAACAAAAAAATCTGTGTTGTTCCAGCATAAGCTCCAGTTGGTCACAGAGATAATTTTTCTCCCTTTTCTTGTTGTTAATTAGAACAGGGAATAACCAGAATGTCCTCGTCTAGGGGTCCCTTGGGTGCTGCGGTCAGAGAACTGTCAACCATCCAGACACCCATCTTCAAAGGATGATATAGGGCCCATTGCTGTGCTTGTCTCAAAGTTTGCATGGTAGGAAAAATGATACAGTACATGCATTCAAGAATGATTCAACGGTATCTTTTCTGCTTCTCCAGGCTTCAGCTTAGGCATAATGATCATCACTGCTTTCTGAAACTAAACTTTAGCTCATACAATATGTGGATCTGATCCTTCCATTTAGTTCCCCAGAGCCCAGAAAATAAGTTCAGAGAGGACATAACCAACAAAGGGATACCCTATTGGCTACCCAAATGGGTTCAAACACCCACTGACCCTTACTAATGGCTGATGGGTTGAGAGAGAACAACATCATAGAAGCATAGCTGTCAACTTTCAGATTTGAAAATAAGGGATAAGCAGTCTCGAAAATAAGGGATCAGAAGCCTCACCTGTTCCGGTGACAGTCTACAGGATATCTAACAATCCGGGATAGCAGCGGGAAGCAGTGGGAAACGGTGCTGGAATAAGGGAATTTCCCGCAAAAAAAGGGAAGGTTGACCGCTGTGCAAAGAAGTGGTGTTTCCAGCTACCCATCCCTTGCTCTTGGAAGCCTTGCAAGTGTTTGCAGGAGAGAGACTATGAGCAACATTATGGGAGGTGTGTTTCTAGGACTAAGTTGAAACAGTGAAGCACTCTTGTTACTTTTGCTGTTGGATGCTGCATGGTGTTTAAGTAAACTTGTTACATTTATAGTATTGAAATGTTGCTTTTTGTATATTATTATACTTGCTTTTGTTTTGCTATGTTATTATGAAATTGTTTCCATAGCGTTTGTTTGAAACGTATTCCTGTTTTCTTTGTTGTAAGCATGATTTTGTGTGTGGAAAGGTGGAATACAAATAAAATGAATGAATGAATCTAGGAGCAGGTGCAAACCATGCTCTGGAGCTATAGTCCTAAATAGCTTCGGCTCTGTCTACCTGAAGGTTCTTCTCCACCCATCGTTCAGCCCGGACACTGAGCTCCTGCTCTGAGGGCCTTCTTGGTGGTTCCCTCATTGCGGGAAGTGAAGTTACAGGGAACCAGGCAGAGGGCCTTCTGGGTAGTGGTGCCCACCCTTTGGAACGCCCTCCCGTCAGATGTCAAGGAAATAAACAACTACCTGACTTTTAGGCAGTCCTGTATTGGGAAACTTTTAATTTCTGATGTATTGTGTGTTTTTTATATTCTTTTGGAAGCTGCCCAGAGTGGCTGGGGCAACCCAGTCAGATAGGTGGGGTACAAGTAATAAATTATTATTACTATTACTATTACTATTACTATTACTATCCACAACATCTGGAGTGTGCCATATTGGCTACCTCTGATCTATAGTGTGTGTGTGTTTGTGTAATATTAGATATAGCTATTCTCTCTCCTTTTTAAAGGTGAAAAGCTTTTGATGACTTATATACTGTGTCAAATCAGTGTGGTATTGTGAATAGAATGTGGGTGTAGACATTAGAGGGTTCAGCTCATTAAGCACTTATTTATTCTTTGGGCTACAATCTTGTATACACTTACCTGAGAGTGAGTTCCATTGAACTCAGTGGGGTTTAGACATGCATAGGATTGCACTTATTAAGGACTCATTGAAGAGGGAAGGAGGATTTGCTGACTGAGCTCCACGCTGGCCACACCAGGCCAACTTGATTCCTAAAGTTTTCTGAACAGGCTCTTCCTTCTGACCTTACCTGTCCCTAAGGGCTTCTCAACTTGTAGAGAACAATTGGGCTTGTGATAATTAGTTACTGATTGTAGCTGGAGGGAATTATTTAACCCAGTGATGTTCCATATTAAAGTACCACAAATTTGAGAATGGGTGGACTTAGTAGTTTATTTAGGCTGCATACACACTATACATTTAAAGCACATTTGAAGCACATTTTATCCCCTCAAAGAATTCTGGATGCTGTAGTTTGTTAAAGGTTGCTGGGAATTTTGACTCTGTGAAGGTTAAACTACATTGCCCAGAATTCTTTGAGAGGGAAAAGTGTGCTTTGAATGTGTTTAAAAGCTATAGAGTGTACATAGCCTTAGATTCATTACCCTGCTCAGGCCTGCAGGACATTAAGGACCACCTCTCACCATATGAACCGACTCAGACTCTGCGCTTGCCATCTGAGGCCCTTCTCTATGTCCCCTCCCTGAGCAGTTTGGAGGGTGATAGCATGAGAACAGGCCTTTTGCCATGGCTACTCATCTGTGGAATGCTTTCCTCAGAGAGTCTTGTCTGGTACCATCATTACATGCCTTTAGGCACCAAGCAAAAACATTTCTATTTACTCAGGCCTTTGGCCATTAAATAATCTATGGCCTGTTAAATGTGGTTTTTGGGGGGGAGCAGTTATTATTATTTTATTATTATGCTGTGTAGTATTAGGCTCTGTATTATGTTTTTATTATTATACCGTGTTAATTATGTTCTTAATGTTGTACACCACCCTGGAATCTTTGGATAAAAGTTGGTATATAA